GTTTATACAAGCTAGAAATTTCGGATTGTCACAGCTAATAACCAAGAAGTTTGAAGAGTTTGACAATCGTTTGGCAAACCAAAAGTTAAATATCGTACATTTTAGATTACCACAGAAGAAGTAAGTTAGGACTCGAATGTTGTGACTAGTAATTTTCTCGTAAACTTTAGATCTGCTTACATCTTATTTGATTGTGATGCCTCAGATTCTTTCGTGCCTTATAAATTCGCACATTCTTTTCAAATTGCTTGTTAGGCAATTATCCAATCATTTAATATAGATAACATAGGAAATATATCATTACTTGCTGATAAAGTCTATAGAGATAGTGTCATAGGAACTGAAGGTTATAATCTTCTTGCTAACCTAATTCCTATCTCCTTGCCCAACTTTGATATTATTCTCGGCATGGATTGGTTGTCAAGGAACCACGCAAAACTCTTGTGCTACAAAGAGTATGCATCCCTATCGAAGAAGAGGATTCTATTTATGTCTACGTTGAAATAATAACTTCTTTCTAAAAAACTCGTAAATTTATATCGAAGGGATATTCTACTTATCCGGATAATGCAGTTGATATCTCAAGAGAGGGGAAGAAAATTGTAAATGATGTTTCCATTACTAATAAAAATCTTGATGATCTTCCCGATGATTTACCTGGAATACCTCCGGATAGGCAAGCAGAATTCTGACTTGACCATATGCCTGGTGCTACTCTAATTGCCAAAGACTGCTATATAGAATGATAGCATTTGGGTAATTGTCGACCAACTGACTAAGAGTGCATATTTTCTCGCCATACGTACAACGGTTCTAATGGAGAAATACGCACAAGTTTACTTAGACGAAATCATCGCGAGACATAGTGTGCCACTAAAGATTATTTCCGATCGTGATACTCGCCTCACTTCTCACTTTTGGGCGAGTATGAAATGTGAATTTGGATTTCGAGTTGCTCTCAACACAGCTTATCATCCCCAGACAGATGGTTAGACGGAGAGAACAATCCAAACAGTAAAATATATGCTTCGTGCATGTGTCTTGGAGTTCGATAGTAACTGTGAACACCATTATGTTGGCATAATGTAGGATAGAAAATCCTTGGTGGTCCTGAAATGATTCAAGACACCACTGATAAGATTCAAATTATACGCGGAAGAATAAAAGCGGCCCAGGATCGACAAAAGTCCTATGCAGTAAAGAGAAGACGACCCATAGAATTCCAAGTGGGTGATATTGAAGGTATCCCCGTGGAAAGGTATTATGAAATTTGAGAAGAAAAGGAGATTGAGTCCTAGATTTGTTGGACTTTTCAAAATTATCTAGAGAATTGGTCAACAAGCATACCGCTTGGAAATTGCTTGAAGATTTGGCAGGTATTCATGATGTATTTCATGTGAGTTATCTGTGCAAATGCTTGAGCGTATATGATGAAACGATTTCGTTATCCTAAGAGAAATTGGATAATAAGTTAAGATATGTAGAAAAACTTGAAAAGATCGTAAATGAAAGAATGACTAATCTACGTAATAAAGAAGTGAAGTTGGTGCTTGTCAAGTGGAAACACCATCGAGGCCCAAATTATACTTAGGGAAAATAAGAATGAGATAAGAGCGAAATATCCTCATTTGTCTAAATCGTTGTGATTTCGGGGACGAAATCCTCAAAAGGAGGAGGTATTTATAACATACACGTTTTGAAATCGTGTTATGTAATTTGAAAAGTTAATAATATTATGAAATATTATGTGAAATTGAGTGTTGAGTTCTAACAGATAGTTTTTACTAGAAATGAAGTAAAACTATGTTTAGAATTACTCATAAAATATTGGAAGTCTTATGAGATTCCAATTAAAAGCCAAATAGTGAAATTTAGCGAAAATATAAAATTTGAAATAAGTAAAATTTTATTATTTAAAGTTGTAAATAATCTCGTTAGAAACATTTAGGCGAAAACCTCGTCGAAATCCGAGTTATAACGAAGAAGTTATGACCAATCGAAGATCCGCGACAAAACCGGCACGACACCGAATGACGTAAAAAGTGAGTTTTTGATAAACTACTTTTTAGCCTTGGTGATCTAAATGAAAGTCGTCGTATTTGTTAACCGAGAATTTTCATAAAAAGAACGCCAAAATCTGACTTCGTTTACGAAGTTATGATTTTTCTAAGTTTCAGCTTAGCAGTAGACAGCTAAAAACTCGAATTTTAGATCGAGTGATTTTTAGCCGACACAACCTAAACGAGAATCGAAGGTCTCGTAATTAGCAGTACAACGGTAAAAAGTCTGACGAAAACGGACGTCGGATGAAGATGTTATGAATTTTTAACGGATTTACCAGTCCCGGTCTGTTAAAAATAATAATATTAAAATAAAGTCAAAAATTTTCCGACGAAGTCTAAACGAAAGTTGTAGTGCATAATTTTCCCTACGCGTTCATATAAAGAACGTCAAAAACGGAGCCCGTATGAGAAAGTTATGGATTTTACAAGTTTGGGCACAATTTCCGAGAATTTTCGCATGGATAAGATCTAGAATAGGCCACGTCATCCGATCTCGGTGAGTCACCTGCTTCGTGTCCGACGCGTGTCGCGATCCTTCCGAATCCGAGCTGCGGTCCAATCCGCTGACTACACGTATGGCTTCGGTGGCAAGCTCTCGCACGAGCCGCGTGTCCTTCCGAGCCTCGCTGGCCCCTCGCATGCGAAGACACCCGGAGCCCCTCGCTGCTGCCATGCCCCTCGCCTCTCCTGCTGCTACGCGTCTGATCTCGGCCGACCTTCGCCCCTATAAATAGAAGACCTGCGAGATCTCCCGGGTAGAATTCCAAAATTGTCATTTTTCACCCATTTTTCAATATTTTTTATTATTTTGACTTCCCCCGAAGCCCCGATATCATTTTTAAAGCCCGAAATACGTTCCGAAGTTCCCGAGAAGCCCGAAAAATTTATCTTTTCGGTTTGAAGCTCTACCTCCGCAGAGCCCGGTTTTTCAATAAATCTCCCGGTTTTCAACAAATAAAGTCATATTTAGAGCCGAAATGTTGTACAAATTATTATTTTGACCCCCGGTTAATTCAATGTGAGTTTAATATATAGGAACAATTGTATGTTATGTGTTATATGTGCTATGTGCTTTTCCATGTTATCATCTCGTGTTATTATTTCTGCTATTTTTATAGCAAGGCTATACCTCTGACCACGAAGTGTATGACATAGGCATCACTTGGGTATTGGTATGTACCGTTGACCATGAAATGTATGACATAGGCATCACTTTGGCTTCGATAGTATGCTAAGATAAGGCTGAAAGCCTGAATATTCTAGCCAAATGATATTCCTGAGTATTTTCTGTGCCACTTGTGCTGAAACTTTATTGATTGTATATCAAGTATGGAAATTGTTATGTCTCATTGATTGATATGGCAAGCTTTTCGCATTATGCCTTTGTTGTTCCTTGTTCCTCTTTGCTTTTGCAATATTGAAGTATATATATGGCATAACGTTATATTGTATCTATTATTGAACTCACTAAGCGTCACCGCTTACCCTCTCAATGTTTAACAAATTTCCAGGGAATAAGTAACCAGTATAGTCATATACTGTTGGAAGGTTTAAAATAGTTGTAATATTACTTTTGTATTTCGGTTTATGATTGTATAAAATTACAATATCCTGGGTAGTTATGTAAAATCTTAAAACATAGTCGGTTTGTATCCAATCTTTTTGTAATCACTTTATCAATGTAAAATATTATTTTATAAATATACATGTAGCATGTTTTGGAGTAACTATATAGTCAAGTATGAAAGTTTGAGTCTTTCAGAAATATGAAAGTTTACGAAAGTGAGGGTCTTTCACCGGATCAAGAGGGTTCCGGACTGAGAGGGTTCCGGGCCAAGAGGAGAGGCTCCAGAAATAAATAGTGTATTCCGAAATGAGCTTGTTCTTTTGGGTTTTTCTCCATCCGTTTTGAGCCGTTTTCGACAAAGGAAGAGATGGGTTGATGTCGGTTTTTATTTTAAAGTCTGAGAGAGATTTGGGAGAGAGATAGATAGAGATAGAAAGATTGAAAGAGACTTTTCTTGTGGCCTTTAATGGAGTTTTGCTACGTAGCGCTAGGATTTTAAACACCGTTACGCCTTGTTATGAATGTAATACAACCCCGAAGGGTACTTAAAGGTGTTCTATCGAGTTATTACATCACTTACTCCTCTTATGATTTATATTTTTTGAACATTGGAAACCTCTAAGTGATAACTTTGTATTAAAAAAAAGCGTTGCACATTAGTAAACGTAGAGTTTGCCCTACTATACAAGCACTAATTGGGTTGACCGGTTTTGACTCGTTGACTTTGTTTGACCAAAATTTGACTGTTGTCACAGTATCCTTAGTGAGTAGGTCGAATTACTGTTGGTTGTACTTGTAATCTCTCTTCGAGAACTTTGTGAATAAGAATACTCCCTTTCTGCTTGTGGATGTAGGTCACCTTGACCGAACCACGTAAATACTATGTCTTTATGTGCTTTTGGTTTCGTGTGTTATCCGTATTACTTCCTAACAATGGTCATCAAAGTTTGACAATCTGTTTTGATTCTTGACAAGTGCCATCCGATTCCCTAACACATTGGAACTAGGAACCGACCGGGTTATAGGTACCTTCGGTTTTGTCTAGGGTTGATTTTGATTTTTTTCGATCTGATCTATGAAATCCGTTAGTTGATTATTTATAAGAAACTTATTCCAATGCAAGCATATGTAGTATTTTTTTCAAATATATGTGTAATATTTCTAAAAGATATATGCATAATATTTATTTTGTAAGTGTGTTATAATTCTATTTATTTAATAATTATTGTTAATAAATTAATAACTAGTTCAAATTCATTATATATTAACATTTTGTTTTGTTATATTTTTATGATAACATAATGATGATATGATTGTAATGAAAAAAAAAGAAAGAGTATATATTTGCCATTTATCTTGTCTAATACTTCAAAGTTCAAACGGAAAAGGTCTTTCCGCCATCTTTAACTTCAAACCCTAATTTCAAAATCCCAATCACTTTGCAAATTTGTAATTGATGGACATCGACGTATCTGGATGGATTCTTGAGTTCCTTCTCCGTCAAAGTTCACTCGACAATGGTACGTTAAATGATCTAATCCGCGTTCTTCCAATTCCTGACAACAATCTGAGACTTAAAAAGAGCTTAATCCTGCGAAAAATCGAGTCGGATATAGAGAAAGGTACAATCTCCGACCGTACAATCGAGTTTCTCGAACAAATTGAAGAATTGGAGCTCAGAGAAGGATCCGTTGAAGTTTCTGAAGCCATGAAGGCAGCTTATTGCACAGTCGCGATGTATTGTACTGCAAAATCTATAGAAAAGGGCGCTGGTGATATGAAAGAGAAGTATACTACTGCTGTGAGTAGGATTTGGAGTGGTCGGATTCGTGAAATTGAGATCTCTGATGTGGCGAAGATAGTGGGATTGGTTGAAGATGACTTGTTGCGTTGGATGAATGATATCGAGGCTGGGGTTTTGGATGTAGATGTTTTTAAAAATGTTTTGGCAAGGTTTAAAGGATTGGATGTATTGGAAGTCCTTCGTCGGTATGTAAATGAGGCAAAAGAAAAGATGGGTCCTTCGTTTATTGAATTGGCATGCGAGACAATTTTGAGTGATGATGCATTAAGCAAAATCATGGGTTTGAATGAAGTTTCAGAACTCAATAATCAGATTAAAGACAATGCACCAACTGTTGCTCCGGTTGTTAGTCAAGATGTGAATGCGGATCCCAATAGCAAGGGTAATGGTACGTTCAACTTCAAAATCACTGTTAATGTTTCATTACATGAAATCTCTCCAGCTCAAACTGTATTAGTTTTTAAGTTATTTTCTCCCAATTATGTTTCTCTTGAAGTTAGTTTTCCCTATCACAGGCACTTGCCAAAACTTCAAATTTTTCTAAATTTTGAAATTGATATATGATCTATGGTGTTAAAAGAACATCATGTTTGAGATGAGACCTTTTTAACTTGTTGCATCCGATCCCATTTCAATGTTGAGTTGCTTCTTGTAAATGTATATGTGTTCTGTATTCAGTTGTTTGGAGCTTTTCTTTTCATCCTTTCATTGGTGTTGCTTTAGGACATAGTTTACATGCAATTTTTGGTTATCGTAACGATGAACTGTTGCATTTTGAGATTAACGGGTTGATGCTAATCTTGATGAAGAAGCATTGCGGACACGTGTACTACCAAGAGACAAGCATGGTGGCCCAAGATGTTTCAGAAAACCAGGACATGGTGCAAGTCACAGAGGAGCCAAGATTGTTGATCCTATTGAGACAAATGCATATGATTGCCTTTCTACCCCTGAAGTGAATAAAGTACGAGAAGCCCTTAAGGCCAGTTCTTTTGAACTACATGCAGTAGTGAAGGACCCTCTTGAGAAAGCATTACGCATTGCTGAGTCTTTAAAAGCCAACACAACAGGAGAAAATATGGGTAACGAACATGTTGTAGGTAATGAAAGTAGGGTGGAGGATGTTGAAGCTTCTAGTCCCTCACATGATCGAAAGGGTAAAAATCTAGAAGCCAATGAAAATGATAGTGTTTGTAGGGATCAAAGGGATAAACATAAGCCCAACCTATTCGAACGAAATAGCACTGCTCATACTCTTGAGGTAACACCTTCTTGCTTTTGTGCATTTCCATATTATAATTTTTTGTTTTCGGATTGTTTTATGTAATCCTTATCTTTTAGAAACAATGATTACATCTCTTGCCTCTTTGTTTTTTCTTTGTGTAGTGGAATGACTCCATTGATAGCCCTACTGAAGGGTCACCAACAAGACCTCACTTGCCAAGCCCTAAAAAGAGAGCAGTCTCACCTTTAAGTGAATACAAAATGGCAAAACTTGTAAAACACAGACGAAAAAAGAGATGGACCACATTAGAGGAGGACACTCTAAGGACTGGTGTTCAAAAGTATGTTATAATTCTTAAGCATTCTCTTACCTTAAAGTCTTACCATTTTTTATATCACAAATAAAAAAATGTAAGAACGTTAATGTTATGTGTAAGTAGTACATTGGTATTATGGATAAATAAAGAGTAAAGCAGGTTGTTATTTCCTGCAATATAATTTTAATATAAGTTTATGTTTGTTTGTGAAGGTATGGTAAAGGAAATTGGAAGGTAATTTTAAATATATACCGTGACATCTTTGAAGATAGAACAGAGGTAATGGATGCATCATTTCATATTTTTTGTTAATAATTAATAATGTTGCACAAAATTGATTGATGGTTTTCAGGTTGATTTGAAGGACAAATGGAGGAATCTGACACGCTGGTAACACAAATTGTTTTGAAACAAGTGAAGGCAAATTAAATGGGATTTTCGTTGATATTTTTGTAGCTTCATTTTCCGGCTATAAGTTCATCCATTGGTATGTGTTTTTGTGTATCCTGTTTTTGGGTTTTATGACAATGCTTTTGGATGATGCCTTCCTTATGTATATATAAACAGTGTAGCCAACATTCCCTTTTATATATGTTTATGTTTATCGAGTATGATAAACGTTAATTGGCACAAAAAGAAAGGAATAATTAGTTAAGGGAGTGTTTAGACATGCATTTTAAAAATGATTATGTGATACTGAATTTTGAAAGTTGGATGGATAATCAACCGTTATACCATTTTGGGACTAGACTTTTAGACTACTATCATGAATTAAATTTCAAAAATCACTTATTTAATCCATATATAAAATGGAAATGCGATAAGGGCCACAATGGATTTTGGAGAAACTTTGAGGGGTTATGCATGATACTCTTATATCTATAAGGGTTAAAATGGACCTTAGGAAAACTCTAGGAGGTTGTTTGTGAAAATGGCCGTATTATAGAAAATTTCTTCAAATGTTCGAAAGCTACATCAAATCATAAGGCGGGTCATGGTGTCTGAAAATATCAAGAGACGACTTGAAAAGTAGGGTGTTGTCGAAAACGACCCATTAACTTGATATAATCATGCACTCCGAGTCCCACCTTAGCTTACCCTACTTGTTTATCTCAAATCACATCGATAGAATGTTTGAACCACAAATAAGCAATCTTTGAAACCCAAATCGTATTTCTCACAAGCAACATGTCTAGGATTATTTTCATTCTTTTTATCGTTTCAATCATCCATTCGATTGAAAGAAAATACAACCTGTATGTATTAACAAAGAAGTTAAAAGTATAATACGGTAATAGAAAAAAAATAAAAATAGTATCTTTTGATGTACAAATAAATAAATATACATGGTTGTTAATTCTTACATTTAGTTCAAAATTTAATATATATATATATATATATATATATATATATATATATATATATTTTCAGCTATTAAAAAGATACATTTTCTTTTGATATTTGATTTCAATATTTGTGGTTGATTGACAAATATTTGTCTGCGATTGAATTGGCGGGGTGTGGGAAAGACAACGTTGTCTTGTCTCATATGTTGAGCCATTTTGGTACCTTCCTTATCTTACGCCCTTTCACAACAGGTATGCTGACATGTTGTGGAGCCAAAAGTCCTACCACCTAATTAATGTGAAAAGGTTGCTACTTTACGTTTAATTAAATGAACTTCTAAATCACGTTATTATATATTTTGCAGCTTAAAGATTTATATTCTACAATTGGGATAATGACTTGATAGGGTAAGATACTTTTTGAATTGTATACATTTAATCCTTATTCTTTTTTTTTTTTGTAAAATAAACCCTTATACTTTATTAATATGTACACATTAGGTCATTTTCACCGGATTCTACAAGTTTTGCTGACGTGGAAGCACAAGTGGCACTAAATAGCAATTAATTAGCTTAGTCACCGGAGGTGGGTGATCCTCCAGCAACAAGAAAAGGGCGACGACCCTTCTCTTTCTCGTCTCTCTTCCTTCCGGTCGAACAGCAACAGCCAAACACCCTTTACCTGTTGTGTTTCTCCGATCTGTCTCTCTTTGCCTCCATCTTTGAGATATGTTGCCAGAAAAAGAAGAAAGAATCGACGAGGGGGCTACCAGAGCAGCTCCTCGCCGCCAACTACCGTCTCTACTTCCTCCTGCCTCCCCCTTCGACCTTGTTGTTTTTGCCATCATTCCTCCTTGCTACCAGTGATGTGTAGGAACACACAAAGGAGTCGCCGGAGATCGGGGTTCTCCCTCTTTTTCATGATGAATAAAAGTTGGAAAAATCTCGTTGTGGATATGTGGATGCCACCTGAGTATTTCATTTCAACAAAATAAAAGAAAGGGAAAATGACTTGATAGGGTAAGATACTTTTTGAAATGTACACATTTAGTCCTTATTCTTTTTTTTGTAAAATAAACCCTTCCACGTCAGCAAAACCTGTAGAATCCGGTGAAAAGGACCTAATGTGTACATATTAATAAAGTATAAGCGTTTATTTTACAAAAAAAAAAGAATAAGGACTAAATGTGTACATTTCAAAAAGTATCTTATCCTATCAAGTCATTATCCCTTTTAAATTTTTTGGTGATGGACCCATGAGTTTTTTATAAGTAAATAGCTTTTGAGTGTGTATATATATATATAGATATATATATATATATATATATATATATATATATATATATATAGATATATATATATATATATAGGTTTAGGTTCTATGGAAAACAAAAAACCCTAAAAAAAAACCTTAAAAATCATAAAAAAAAATACTTAGAGATCACAAAAAAAAATTTTGAATTTTTTTTATAAAAAATCGCAGCTTTTTATTAAAATTCGTTGAAAAAAAAATCAAATTTTTTTTTTATAAAAAAAAAGTTTTTTTTTTCAAATTTTTTTTCAGCGAATTTCTTTAAAAACCTGCGATTTTTTCATAAAAAATGTCAAAAAAAAGTTTTGTGATGTCTAGGTATTTTTTTATGCATTTTATGATTTTTGGGGTTTTTTAGGGTTTTTTTTTTCCAAATAACCCTTCCCTATATATATATATATATATATATATATATATATATATAGATATATATATATATATCTATATATCTATATATATATATATATATATAGGGAAATCTCCAGAAAAGTCCTAAATTTTACCCTAATTTACGAAAAAGTCACAAACTAAATTTTGTTTACGAAAAAACATGAATTACCGGTAAAAATAACGATTTGACCTTTTTTTTTCCGGTTTACCAGTTTTATTACTTACCCGTTTCACTAAAGTCCCATTATTTTACCCTAATTTGCGAATAAGTCCCAAAATAAAATTTACTGATGATTTGGCCATTTTCTCTATGTAACATACATTTTACCGGTTTCATTGTTGATCCGGATGCCTAGTCATTAAATGAGATGATGAGATGGATATGTTGAGTTATATAATGTTATGTTTAGCATAAAACTTGATATCCTGATGTATTGTGTATTTTTTTGAACATAAAATGCATCCAACGAAGACTACAATAATTACATAAACTAACAACAACTGCGTTATTTTTTACGTTTATAAGAAATATCAAATTGTTTATCTAATCTTATGTAACCCAATATATCCATCTCATCAAACATCAACTCATTTTCTGCCCTTTTTTCTTTGAAACACACATTTTATTGGTTTCATTGTTGACGTAGATACATAGTCATAAATGAGCCGATGAGATGGATATCAAAATTTACAGTAAATTTAGCATTATATAATCCATCGTATCCATCTTATCAACTAATTTAATGACTAGGTGACTAAGTAATCAATGAAACCGATAAAATGTATGTTACATGAAGAAAATGACCAAATCATCAGTAAATTTTATTTTGGACTTATTCGCAAATTAGGGTAAAATAATGAGACTTTAGTGAAACAGGTAAGTAATAAAACCGGTAAACCGGAAAAAAGGGGTCAAATCGCGATTTTTACCGGTAATTAATGCTTTTTCGTAAACAAAATTTAGTTTGAGACTTTTTTCGTAAATTAGGGTAAAATTTTAGGATTTTTCTGGAGATTTCCATATATATATATATATATATATATATATATATATATATATATATATATATATATATATATATATATATATATATCCAATGGGCTCAAATGTCAGCAATCCTTCGGTTTGGTTTCAGAAATGGGTTATATTGATCTTGGTTATCAATTAGTGTATGCGATATGAGTGAATGATATCCATATCTCCATCCATAGAAGAATGGTAGGGTTTTAAATCAGTTCGACATGTCATTTAAAATGAGGACGAAATCCATCAAGCAACAGATACAAGAAACAATATCCGGTTTGCCACGATTTCATTTCGTTTACTCAAATAACCAAATCAAATCAAACATTATAATTTTCATTTGGGACCCAGAGATTTCCATCAACATGTTAAAAAAAGATTAAATACTTCTTTTCGTTTTTTAACCAAGTGATTATTCATACTAAACACAAAAATGGAAATATAATTTATATAAATGAATGGACTTTAAGAAAAATTGTCAAGTACACTTATTCTTAATTGATTCTTACCGTACTTTTATTTTCTTTTCTATAGATTAACTTGTTATCGTGAATCTAATAAATTTTTATATATTTTGTTTGTGAAAATGAACAGAAATGATTTATTTTTTTTAAATTTATAAAGTTAATAGGACAATTAAAAGAAATATATTTTCAATCACTTTTTTTCTTTAAGATAGTTTTAAAATCAATGTTTAAAGGCTGTGATATAAGTTTATGAATACAGAAGAATTCATTACCATATAAAAAAGACCGTTATCAATATCAATCTTTATTTTAAGTATTTAAATGGGTAGGAGGATTAGTAGGGTTAAAAAGTAGAAGGATATTTGATTTCTCTTTAAATAATTAAAACGTCTTTTAACTGATTTTAAGGCACATCCCTAGAATAAAATCTTAATGAATTAATTGCAGACAAATTAAATAATATAAATAAGATATTTTTCAGTCTTATTGGAGTTGACCAATCAAAAATAGCCACATGTCCAACATATATCACCTCAGATTCAAAAACAATCTTTCATTCTATTCAAATTCAGCACAGCGGCACAGCATATCTCTCTCTCTCTCTCTCTCTCTCTCTCTCAAAAGAAACATCCCAAGATCATCGATGGTTCTGGCCGCGGCGTACCGCCGGCTACTGCAAACCGACATCCAGGTTCCGCCGGCGGCAGCCAATGGAAGCTCAATAGACGGTGGTTACACAGCTGGTGATGACAGTTTTGACAACAACATGATGATTATACTTGCTGTCTTGCTATGTGCATTAATATGTGCACTCGGCCTTAATTCGGTAGTACGTTGCCTCTTAAGGTGTAGCCAAACTTTTGTTTTCGAGCATCCTAGACAACCCACTGCACGAACAGTATCAAATGGCCGGGAACAAGGGTGGTTGAGTGACATTCCGGTGGTGGTTTATCAGTCGGAGATGAAAATTCCGACCACCGATTGTCCGATTTGCCTCGGAGACTTCAGTGAAGGTGAAAAAGTTAGAAATTTGCCGAAGTGTAAACATTGGTTTCATGTTAAATGTATAGATAAATGGCTTCTTTCACAATTATCTTGTCCGATATGTAGGCAGCTTTTGTTTGAACTAGATGAAGTTTAATTGAGTCTGTAAAGTTTACTTTGTCGTTTTTATAAAAATGTATAGCCAGTTTCGAAAGTATTTTGTCTAGGAGGGACCTTAGTGTAAATATTATTCTCAAAGGGTGTGTGTTAAATATCTAGAGGTATAAGGTGCATGAGAAATTAAATTTCCTCCTACCTTTTGTGCATACATAAATTCCAACCCACTAATATCAAGACATTTGTCATTATTTTTCCATGTCATTCAATTTAACTTCATATCCCAAAACTACCCTTAATGAGTAAATTAATAAAAAAAAAACAAAAAACATCACGTACGATGATGATCTAATGAACGTGTGCGACTATCGCCGCCTTCTCAATCCCGATTCCTTCTCAAACCCTTCTTCTCAATCCCGGTTCCTTCTCAAACCCTTCTTCTCGTCTACTGTTGCACACCGAAAATCATTATCCCTAGCGCCAACAACAACAACCATCATCAGATGTAAGAACTTCGTCAAGAACTTCGTTAATAATCAAGAATTTTCTCATTACTGTTTATGTGTAATTTTTTTATTCGATTTCTATGGCATAACGACACTGTAACCATGTTCTACCACTACCACAACAACAAAATCAATATTAAGATAATGAAAATTATCTATCAAACACTAATCATAAAACAAAATCACGTGTAAATTATTAAGATATTATCCGGTAACATAAACTGAAATACCTGATCACATTTCTTGTACAGATAACAAGAAAGACTGAGATGAAATCCATACTTTCTTAACATAATTAGTTTTCTCATTCTTATAATCAGAATAACAAAGTTCCTCACTACTGTTTCTGCTTCTCATTCTTAACATAATAAGGATGGAGGCTGCATATTCAGTTGAAGAGGCTATAAATTTAGTTGAAGAGACTGCAATTTCAGTTGAAGAGGCTGTAAATTCAGTTGAAGGGCATATAGTTCTCAATCCTGAACATCAACACATTCCTAAAGATGGAATGAAGTTTGATTCAGAAGACGACCTTTACGATTACTTTAAAGCATATGCATTCCAGATTGGTTTTGGTTTACGGAAAAGTAGTACAAGAACAAAAAAATCTTGTGCTAAAACATACTATTCACTTGGATGTGCCAAAGGAGGTGTATATGTGTCTAAGACAAACAAACCATATCAAAAGTCTTCTAAAACAAATTGTAAAGCAATAATTAGTGTAATTGCATATGGCGACAGAAGATGCGTTATCTCTAGTGTTTTTCTTGAACATAACCATGCTTTAAGTCCCCGAAAATCTCGTTTCCAACGATCACATAAGAAAATGGATTTGTATGCTAAAAGAATACTTGAGTTGAATGATTATGTTGGAATTCCATTAAACAAAAGCTTTCATTCGTTAGTTGTTGAAGTGAAAGGGTATGACAATTTGCCGTTTGGCAAGACAGATTGTAGATCTTACATAGCAAAAGTAAGACAACTAAGACTTGGGCTTGGGGATGCTGAGGCACTTCGTAATTATTTTGTCCGTATGCAAAAATGAAGCTCAAAATTTTTCTTTGTGATTGATATGGATGATGAAGGTCGTATGCGAAATGTATTTTGGGTAGATGCAAGGTCTAGGGCAGCTTACGAGTCATTCGGAGATGTCATTTCATTTGATAGCACATACTTGACTAACAAATGTAATATGTCATTTGCGCCTTTTGTCGGAGTAAATCACCATGGACAATCAATATTATTTGTATGTGGTTTGCTTTTACGAGAGGATACATACACATATGTATGGTTATTCAAGTCATGGTTAGAATGCATGAATGGTCTGGCACCAAAAGCAATAATAACAGATCAATGTCGATCAATGCAGGGAGTTGTGGCACAGGTATTCCTCGAATCTCATCATCGTCTTTGTATTTGGCATATTATGAAAAAGATTCCTGAAAAATTAAGTAGGTTGGCTCAAATATAAAGTAATAAATAAGACTCTAAAAACCCTTATGTATGAGTCTACGGACTACGGACTACGGACACTTAAGAGTTTGAAGAGGGTTGGTGCAGACTGGTTAAAAATTACGGACTTGAAAAAAATGAGTGGTTATGTTCTTTATTTAACGATCGAAGGCGTTGGGTACCGATATATATAAAAGTAAACTTTTGGAAATGGACGATGTCTACTACACAAAGAAGTGAAAGCATGAATGGTTTTTTTGATGCGTATGTTAATTCTAAAACCTCATTACGACAATTTGTTGAGCAATATGACAACAGGCTGAAAAGCAAGACTGAGAAAGAAACTAAGGCTGATTTTGAGTCTCTTAATTCTTCATATAAATTAGTAACTGGGTTTTATTTTGAAAGACAGCTTCAGGAAGCATACACAAATGCAATTTTTAAGTTGTTTCAAGATGAGTTACGAGGTATATTGTTTTGCAATTCTTCATTGGTCAAAGTGGATGGTGCACGATATGTATTTCATGTCACAAATATTGTGGAAGGTAAACATGGAGATTTAAAAAAAAGAGTTGTTTATCTCGTTAGTTATGATGAGATTGAATGTGATATACAATGTTCTTGTCATTTGTTTGAGTTTTGATGAATTATTTGTCGGCATGTGGTGAAAATATTGATTGAGAAGGATGTTAAAGAAATCCATCCACAATATATTTTGTCTCGATGAAGGAAAGATGTGAAGCATCGATACTACTTAGTGATAAACTGTTATGAAAATTTGATGAGTGGTGAAAACGCTAAACAATTTGACTACTTGTGTTCCAATTTTAACGAGGCTGCACATATTGCTAACTAGTTTATAACCCGTGGAAACCACGGTTACAAAATTAATTAAACTTTTATAATAAAAACTCAAAATTATTAATCAATTATTTTAAATAAATTATTAATTAAGAGATTTTTTGGTTATATAAAATTATAATTATTGATTTAAATAAATATGTGAAATTATATCACTTTATAATTTGTATTAATTTCATTTTAATTTTTATTCTAATGTTATTATTTTAATGTAATTAGAGTGGGAAATTTAAATTTTAAAATTTGAAATGGAGAATCAATAGGTTGACAAGTGGCATACATTAATTAGAAGACATTAGGGTGACACATGGCAAAATGAGAATAACATATGCATTAATTAGAAGCCTAATAGAATGACACATGTCAGAAGGAGAATAAAACTATTCTTTTATTAGATTAGGGATTCTCACGAAAAGTATGAATACTTGCTAAGTTGTATAAATATGGCTAAAGAAAAGTTAAATGATGATTCAATTTAGGGTGGTAGTAGTAATGTAAATTTGATAGTTGAAGATGTTCGTGTTTCAGACTCAACTACAAAATTGTTACCACCCTTGCAAGTACGTAGTAAAAGTCGTCCACCATCCAAGAGAAAAGAATCTAGAGTAGAACATGTTATGAAGAAGAAAAGAAAGAATAATGTAATATTTTATCTATTTAAATTCTTATTTTTTTATTTGTTTAATATAGTTTATAATAATTGGGTTTTTTTTAGGTATGTGAAAGAATGGAGAACATGCAACAAGATCAAACAGATTCAAATCGTGAGCGTGAAGCAATTTCCTATAATGATGTGTTGAACTACCAGTTTCATCTTAATGTATCTGTTTGAACAAGAAAGACTAAGGAGCAGGTGAAATTAGTATAAAACATGTTTTATGAGAAAAGAGTGATTTTTAGTTTCAATTTATTATTTTTTTTTTTTTTGTGATTAATGATGTTGAAAGAACCAATTGGCATCGTGATAGTATGTTCGAAATGGATTTATTGATTTCAAAATAAAGGGTACATTGGTCATTTCTGGAATAATTATGATTTTATTTTATTTAGGATCAAAATATGCATGCTACGATAAGATGAGTAAAGGGAATTTTGATCATTTTATTATGTTATGGGGTTTGCTTAATATTGTGTACTTCCAATGTGTAATTTATTTAAGTTTCTTATGATGCATACCGGTGGAGTTTTACATGAAACATAAAAATGGAACCAAAATTAGCAATGCTCTTTCAAAATAGAATCAAGAATGGCAATGCACTTTCCAAATGGAAATAAAAATAACAATGCATTTTCAAAATGGAATCAAGAATGGCAATGCACTTTCCAAATGGAACCAAGAATGGCAATGCATTTTCAAAATGGAACCAAAATTAGCAATGTACTTTCAAAATGGAACCAAAAATAACAATGCACTTTCAAAATGGAATCAAGAATGGCAATGCACTTTCAAAATGGAAAACCAAAAATAACAATGCACTTTCAAAATGGAATCAAGAATGGCAATGCTCTTTCCGAATGGAACCAAGAATGGCAATGCACTTTCAAAATGGAACCAAAATTAACAATGCACTTTTAACATGGAACCAAGAATGGCAATGCAATTTCCAAACGGAACCAAATATGGCAATGTACTTTCAAAAATACAACTCATGTAAATGAAACTAATGGACATTTGACTCTAGGTTTACAAAAATACAACTCATGTCAAGTCTTCACAAAAGTAAACTACATTGATATATTAAACCATTTTCATATAAATACATTGTTTTAAAATATCAAACAATCTCAATACTGACTATTACATGGTCCAGAATGCCATAATTATCTTGAATTTTACACAAAACCAAAGTCAACTAATGTCAATAAATTTGGAAGCATGTGAATGTCTTCTACATCTTCTCACAACAATGAACACCTTGTTTAGTACATGAGGTGAAATTTATGCAGCGTAATTAGGCAATGAACTTCAACAAAATCCCCTTACACGAGGCTCTGGACCTTCCCCATCAATGATATCTATAAATACAAAACGAATACAAAATTAATGTTAAAGGATCTATGCTAACCAAATCAATTAAAACCACATATCTTTGTGAGATCATGAATGATGAAGGTAAAAATGAAAAATCACCTTGCAATTGGAAGAGGTATAATGGAGCCCAAAACAGAGTTTTAAAGAAGAAATACAAATAGAGAAAAAACATATCTAAACAAGCAAAACCGTCAAAAACTCCAACAACCTAACAACAGCCACCAACAAAACATCTAACCATGCCCATTTTTATCCACTTTCATGTACCAATCTGCCAATGCTCACAGGGACAAAAGAAAGGGCAAAACCTGCAATAAAAAGGGCAAAACCTGCAATAAAAAGGGCAATACACTCCACAACCACAAAACAGCCCATCAGGTAAGAATGGGGATAATCCTCTGCCAGCCATTGACTTAAGAGCAAACCAGTTCTGCCTTGCACAATATTCAATCCAAACTTTGTCCAAATTACACCCACAGAGACATTATTGAAAAATTACTCCTTTTTCAAAAATATTCAGTTTTTTATGCAAAACTATGTCTCACAAATTGTGTTCTAGACACAACAAACACAACAAATAGAACTCAAGCAAACCGATTTTACACAAAAAAGGAGATAAAGTTCAATTGACTCGAACTAACGAAACCCATGGTGATTAGAAATTTAAACTAGCAAACATGTAGGTTGATGGTGGCTCCAGTGTCGATTGAAGATTAGAAGGCGGCAATTGGGGGTGGCGATTGAAGATTGGGTGTTGGCTCTGGTGTCGATTGCAGATTGGGTGGTGGCTCCGCTGTCGATTAAAGATCAGAAAGCAGAAATTGGGTGGCGAATGAATATTGGGTGGCAGCGATAGGCGGTGGCGATTGAAGACGTCGATTGCAGTAGTCGGATCGATTGAAGTAGACGAGAAGAACTGAAGAAGGGTTGGTCGATTGGAGACGTAATGTGGATGAAGCTGCCGTGATTTTTTTTATTTATTAATTTACTCATTAAGGTAGTTTTGGGATATGAAGTTAAGTTGAATGACATGAAAAAATAGTGACAAATGTCCTGCTATTAGTGGATATGAAATTATGTAGGTACAAAAGGAGGGAATTTAATTTCTCTTTACAAAAATGACTAAAATGAAAAAAATATAAAACCTATAATACAAAACGTTCCAATATCGAGATAAATCACAAGTTCAACTAGTTGACAAATCATCATAATTTTGTGGTGCAATAGGTTTGATAGATTCTAATTTGGCTATAGTAAACCAAGATGCTTAAAATTAACTAGACTCTTCTTAATTAGTACAATGCTTAGAGAAGCTCATAACAATTTTTTATAGTTAAAGTCAAAAATCAATGAAGCATGCAATTTATGAAAATCGACTAGCATTAAGATTTAGGGATAATTTTGTATATACCCTTATTAAACGACTAAATATCGTATTTGCCCGACCTAAACTTTAAATATCATATTTGCCCTTGTTAATGTTTTAAAATATCATATTTGCCCAAATCTATATTTTTAATAATTTTTATTATTTAATAATCTTTTGTTACATTTTAAAATCATTTTAATTTAAGAAAATGTCTAAATGGACCATAATAGCCTTCTGTTCTAAATCAAAATCTTTCAAACGAGGTTTTATGCTTTAGTCGTCTTCCTCGAGTTGTCATCCTCATGATTGTCGGTGTACGTTCACTACTCGACATCCTCGTTTTTGCCTTTTGTTGCTTCCTTCAATTGCAGCTGGTTCCTTCTTGCAATTGTTAATAAGAACCATGTAATTATGTCCTTTACTTATATCAATTTCTTTTTAGCAATAGAATCAATACCTACGTGTTTAGAATCTCAAAATCTTGAAACCACTGTCTTAATTTCACAATTCCCTTTCCATACATGCCCTTCTTTTAGGTCACGAATCCAAATAATAGGCTTAATTTTGGTTCTGCATTTCTAATTTTCTTTTATACCACAGGTTACAATATAATGGTGTTGATTTCAAGTTGTGATGTATAATTGATACGCAAATGTTGTTTTTAAGTTCCTATGTATCATGCTTTAAAGAAAACTGTGATGGAATTGGAAGATGAACAATATGACCTTTTGATTTTATAAAGTACCTAGATTTAGAAACAAAGTTCCACATTGTTGCTGCTGCTCATAAACCGTTGCTTGTGGGTGTCACCCTTCTTCACAGAGCTTATGCTAAACCGTTGCTTGTAGTGCAATTGTTTTGTATTAATCAATCATACTCTGGCTACTTTACTTACCTTATGCCTCTCAGCTCTACCATTATCATTGCTCTTAATAGTTGGCATCCATTTACAACAACAAAGTTTTTACCATGTTGGAGATCTTCATTCTCCTGATCTTGTTTAGTAGGGAAACCCACGACTTCAGGTATGTGAATCTTATCACAGGGCATAAACTTCAGTTCTGTAACGCCCTGTTTCGAATCGATGCCATTGCGGGGTGTTGAGAAAGGAATGGGTATTAGCTGACTTAGGACCCTTGAAGAATCGAGTTTGGGCTCATTTGGAGGTGGATGATATAGTTTGGATGATCCGAGTATTCGGTTTGTGTTTTGGAGGCCAAGGGTATCGGTAAAGGCGTTGGTTCGTGTCTTTTGAATTAGAAGGCTTGAAATCATGAGCTGGAAGTTTGGACTAAGGTCTTAAGGTAAACGCTTGCATCTTGGCCTCTTTATGGAATTAGAAGGCTTGAAATCATGATTGGGTCCTTTTGGATCATGCAAAGGTTCCAAGTTGACAACTTTATGGATTAAGTCACTGATATGAAGCTACTTTAAGGATTTGAACATTGGACTTAAGGTAATAAGACGTTTGGGGTAATTTTTGGACAATGGCCGGGAACGTCGTGCGTTCATCTCGTGAATGTGGCACCTTCAGGCAAAGGGTCCCGATCGGTGGTCTGGCAACGAACGCCCTGCGCTCCACCAGGGAACGCAGCGCGTTCGGTTCATAAATGGGCCTTTTGGGCTTTTGTTCATGGACTTGTCTTGGGGTTCGGGCTTGTTTCTTTGGGATATGAGTTATCTGTTTGGGCTCTGGTTGGGCCTCAGGACTTTGAGTGGACCTTAGGTTTGGTTTGGGCCTCGAGTTGTGTTGTTGGGCCATTAGTGGGCCCTTGGCCAAGTTTGGGTTGGACCCATTAAGGAAAGGGTAAAATGGACTTTTACCCTAGGAGTCGGGACTTATGAGTTGAGGCCGCGGTTAATGGGTTATGGCATAATTATTAATTGGGATTTATTTGTTGTTAGTGTGGGATTTCCGGTTCGGCAGCCGAGTGTTATCAGATTGCAGCGGATCGAGGTGAGTTACCTTCCCATTATGAGTAGGTCGAAGGCACCAATGTCGGCCCATTAGTAGTTGTTTGTAGTAGAGATAATTGTCTGCGTGATAATTGTATGGAATGCCACTATCTGATGAGATTTATGTGCTTATATGCTATGTTATTATGTGGTAGTGGTAGGGGGTGAAATAGACCCCGTAACCGGTTGAGATAAACCGGAGGGTAGGTCGAGCACCCAGATATGCTTGGCAGGGTAGGTTGGGCACCCAGATATGCCTGACAGGGTAGGTTGGGCACCCAGATATGCCTGACAGTATGTTTATGCTATGTTATTATGTGGTAGTGGTAGGGGCGAAATAGACCCCGTAATCGGTTGGAATACACCGGAGGGTAGGTCGGGCACCTAGATATGCCTGACAGGGTAGATCGAGCACCCAGATATACCTGACAGGGTAGGTCGGGCGCCCAGATATGCTTGACAGGGTAGGCCGGGCACCCAGATATGCCTGGCGGTATGTTGTTGTGTGGTATGATGGGGGAACTCACTAAGCTTCATACTTATGGTTTCCAGTTTTGATTTCAGGTACTTCTTCTTCTAAAGGAATGGGGCCGACATGATCGCAACACATCACACTATATTTTTCCGCATATGAGATCTTCGGGTGTTGTACTCTCATATTACTCTTTTATGACATGTTTTGGTTATTTGACATGCTGGTTTTGATTATGATATGGGTTGGCACTATCAATGATTTCAGACTAATGTTTTATAAATACTTAATTAAAAATGAAATTTTTGGTCATGAATTTGGGATGTTACAAGTTGGTATCAGAGCCTTGGTTTGAGGGATTCGGACACACTTTCGGGGGTGTCTGGACTCAAATCAAGGGTTTGAGAGGTTTTTACAAGAAAAATATTTTTTCTAAAATTAAAATTAAGGGTTTTTAATAAAGAACAAGGAGTGTGATGCGTGCAATCAGTCGGGCTCAAGTAAGTTTTCCCCAAGATACCCATACATGTTTATTATGTGATATGATATGATTATGAGAATTGCATGCTAGATTAGGGCTAAGGATCTTATCAGTATTTCATGATAGGAGAGATGCCTTTATATGCCTGATTGTATGAGCTGTAGTATTCCATGCTAGTATAGATTCCCAATAATAGGATAAAATGGCTTGATTGATTAGTTGTTCCATTGTCTGAATGCTGCTTGCTTTGTGCTTTGTGGGACTCTTAGCAATATGAGCTAGCTATTAAGTGAATATGCTAAGTCACATGTGGCATAGGCTGGATAATCTCAGAGTGATGGACTTGGCCCTATTGCGTAACTCTCGTTTGAGTCCAACCGTTCTAGGATTGAGTCTTTTACTCGAAGGATTATCTGATCTTTGTTGCACGTGACTATATTCATGAGGTATCTAGTTGACACTACTGGGAATCCTTCAGCGACTGAGGACTGGGTGGGTTCGGGAACCTAGGAAAGCCTAGAATATGCTTCAGTGGGTTAGTAGTGCGATTTAGTGAGTCGTGGGTGCATCAGTTTGAGAAAGTGACTTAAAGGATTCGGGTGGATTGCTGAGGAAAGTATGGATAGGTGTGGAAGGTAGTATTGGGCGACATGTGCGGAAAACTACACGATGGAGTTTGTCGTTCCAGGGGTTTAGGCTGCTACAAGCGTGGAAGGGTTGGTCACGTCAGCAGAGATTGTCCTCAGGGGGCAAGCCCATGATGTTTCCACTGCGATCAGGTGGGTTACAAGAAGGCCGACTGTCCGAGGAGGAAGGGAGGAGCAGTGAATGTGCATACTCCGGCTATTTCGCAAATCTCTGATGGTCGAGAGAGTGGGGCAAGAGCCCCAGCATATAGGAGCCAAACCCTGCAATGTCAGACAGGAGAAGCCAGGACTCCAGCAGGCGATGTTGCGGGTATGTATCTTTTGCCTTCCTTCAGTTTTATCTGCACTTTATTGTTGGAATTTTGTTTTGGTTTGGAATATTGTAGCGGGTTGGGTAAGTGTATCTCTGGTTTATTTCTTTGCTCATGTTGGGTTACATCTTCAAATATTATCATATGCCAGTTACATACCGCGAATTATTAGTGGTTAGTGTAAGGTCGTTTCCCTTTTTGCTGGTTCGGGGTGTTCAGTGTTATCTTGGGATAAGGTCGAGATCGGCCAGGGGCATTATGGGAAGGTATGCGCTCAAGGTCCAAAGGACGGTTATTCAACATCGTCAGGATTTGTTGGTTGTAGTGATTGTTCTTGGAGTGGCTATTGGAAGCGCCAAGGGAAGTGGCTTGTTGCCGAGGTATTGGTTTGAGCATCTGTCGTTTGGGCTTCAAGATTTGAGTGTGATATCACTTCAAGCATCAAGGGCTGTCAGTTTCGTTGGGATTCAAGAAGTGTTCATTTGGTCCTTAAACGTTGTATGGTCTTTTAAGTTTGGCTAGTAATGGGTCGCTAGCATTGGTAAGTGCCAGTTGTCAGCAGATCGATCATTGGAAGGTAGGAGGGACCGGAAATCCTTCCATTTCTCATATGCCGTAGAGACTTAGTCGAATCGAAGTGGGGGAGAACCGTTCGGGTATCCAGGTCAAAAGCAAGTGTGAAATGGGATGAGCTCGTATCCCCATCGGGGAAAGGAAAGCGGCCAAAGTGGTTGTTTGAATGGGGAATAGTGTGGGTGGAAAGTTTAGAAAAATTTCCCGACTTTGGAACCACATCTAATTGGTGTGTGATAGCAGTTTTGTGGATGGATTCAGGTCGAGGGTTGTGTCAGAGCCTCGCTGCCTTTTCTTGTCCGATAAAGGCTTTGGGGTTCAAAACCTAACACGAACACCTAATTAGGAGCATGGTCTGGTGCGTGTTCGAATCATGATGGGTATAGTTGGATTGGTGGTAGGACCATGGTTGGAAGATAATGTTAGAGTGTTGTAAGACTGCGGGTGTAGCCGTAGCATTCACAAGGTCGGCATACAGTGCTAGAGTGTTGTAGGACTGCGGGTGTAGCTGTAGCATTCACAAGGTTGGCAGATAATGCTAGAGTGTTGTAGGACTGCGGGTGTAGCCGTAGCATTCACTAGGTTGGCATATAGTGCTAGAGTATTGTAAGACTGTGGGGGTAGCCGTAGCATTCACAAGGTTGACAGATAGTGCTAGAGTGTTGTAAGACTGCGGGTGTAGTCGTAACATTCACAAGGTTGGCAGATAGTGCTAGAGGGTTGTAAGACTGCAGGTGTAGCCGTAGCATTCACTAGGTTGGCATATAGTTCTAGGGTGTTGCAAGATAGCGGGGGTAGCCGTAGCATTCACTAGGTTGGTAGATAGCATGGAAGTGTTGTTAGATCGCGGAAAGAACAATAGGACCCACCAGTTCGACTGCAGCAGTGAGGGTGTGGAAAATGCACAGATTGGGTTACAAATTTACCCAAATGGATTAGACCTGCTTGAGCCAGTGTTAAGACCGTAGGAACACCACTACAGCCATAGGATCGAGGAAGCGATAGACCGTATAAGGTCGACTGTGATATAAGGCTACCTTTGGTCATGTAGCAATCACTTTTAGCCTCGGATTTGGTGGCATCAGGATTCGACGTATGGACCCGATCGGTTAGAACAGAAGGTTGTTAGAGTCATAGTGGCAAGATAACTAATGGCAACTATTGACAGATGAGGATTTCATTCAAAAGTCGTGTGGGGCGACTGTGTGGGAGTCTTTTGGCTCAGCAACCGGGCTGAAACCCGGTATCTCAGATGTCTAGCAGACGAACTGAGACCAAGGAGGTCTCGGTGGATTTTGAAAAACAGCCAGGAGGCAGCATGCTGTTTTGGGCAGTCCAGTGTTTCGGGCAGTTTCAATGTCTCTGGTAGTATTAGAGTTTTATGATTTCATGTATGGATGGAGTAACTGATTGCTTGGGTTATGATGAATCACCCACATCGGGACTAAATAATCTTAGAGTAATTGATTTGACTTTGTTGCGTAGCTCTCGTGTGAGTCTAAC